ATGGAGTTCATCATTACAGACACCAGGAAAACAGGATCAGGTGAGAAGAGGAGAGGAAGAACTTTCAGGAAAGCTGTGGGTAGGCAGAACACAGAGACGAGATGAGGAGAAACAGAAGAGAACATATGCCCCAGGAACTGGGGGTTGGCCACTTGGACTTTAGTTTTGAAAAGGGATTTGAGAAGGGTTTAGCTATAACAGGGATATGCTTTTCAGCAGCACAGGTATTTCACTGTGTTGGTGTTCACTTCTCCCACTCTTACATCTCTACTTTCTGCTCTTGAAATCAAGAAATTTTGCAGCTGTATGGAGGTGCTATCAAAAGTGATCCTTGCTTTAGGTATTTTTGTCAGATGGAAATGAGCTTGTCCCTTGTGATGTTTAATATGTTTGTTTGAAAAAGGAATTCTATATATACATTTACAGCTTTTGCAACCTCAATGGAGGGTCTGTATTTTACATAGCTACGGTGTAGTGTGAGCACAGAACGTTTAAAAGATGTTTAAATTCCCTGTAATTGTGCTGAATGGCAGTTACATTTAAATTTATCCTAAATTTATTTACTCTGAAGACTTTTGCTGCCATGTGAGAGATGAGTCTCATCTAAGTCACACTTTCCATGATCTATTCATAGGTGAGCACTTTGGTTTTGTGTTTTTAACTAAATCCAGTCATTTTTATTCAGGCATTCCATCAAAAGACCTTTTAGGTAGAAATATGGTTTACATTTAAATTCTGAGTTTTTCATGACCCTTGACAACCCCAAAAAAATCATCTTTCCTTCATGGCCCAGGGAGTTCTGAAACAACTTGCCATGCTGTAAAACTGCATAAATATGATATATTCCTATTTGTGCTTCTGTGGCTGAAGGCTCAACAAAGCCTCCTGAATCTAAGGGAATGCACACCAAGGTTGTAACTGATGATGCATGCTGACTTAATTGATGATGAATTTACCTTTGTAAAAGTCATTGTTGTTTTTCCATTAATCCCAAAGGACTTTTTCAAATGTGAAAAGATGTTTTCCTCAACCCTGAAATATTTTTTTGATTATTTCACCTCTTTAAAATGAGAAGTGAATGGGAAAAAAATGAAATTATTTTTGCTCCAGGTAATTTTAAGAGTGACAAACCAAGGCTGTGTTCTAACAGAAAAGGTTGCCAAGAGTGCTAAATGGAAAGAGGCAAATAAGTTTAAGGACTTCCCCTGTCATGGGCTGCTGGATCATTTTTGACCAACAGCTTATTTTGTAGGATCCACTCCAGCTGAGTGAGTGATCGTAGCTGGCACATAATTTGAGAAAGAAAAAGATGAACTCTGCTTTTACCACCTCTGTGCGAGCTGCACAGGGTGAAAACACACTTCCTTAAGAATCAAGGCTCACCTGTCTTGATGTAATTTTCAGACCTACAGCTAGCATTTGATTTTTGAGTTGGGTATCAGACACTACAAGTCATTCTGCAATGGTGCATTCATAACCAGGATACTGCACTCTTTGGGTTTAAAGAATATACATAAATAATCTCAAGGTTTGGGAGCATGTTTCCAGAACTTAATGGTCAGTGATACAACCAAGCAATCATTTTTTGTTTTACTAGAGAGCATACCAGAACCAACCCCATCAGTGTCCACAGAAGTAGGCTCCAAGAACTGGTTTTGTATTATTCAGTCTTTGCTCTTAGAATTTAAACTCCTGGTGCTTTTAGGAGAGGTAGCAAGAAAAAAAAAAGAAGGAAGTTGCAAGCAGAGAGAACCATTTATTTGTTGTTTTCCTCCACACTGCAGCAACTGTACTTTGGGAAGCCATGAAAGTCTCCGCAAGGCAATCACCTGCATTCAGCTTCGCCTGCACCATGCTGGTAACTTGAAGCAAAGTTTGGCTCGAACGGTAAGTAACCTTCTTTGCTTCCCCTTTCCTTCAGCATCCCTGAAGGAAAGCAATTCCAACAATCCTTCTACATAGCAACCTGAAGTAATAATCAAAGAGAGATTGTTTGCTTTCCTGAGAATGCATATATTATTGCTGAACTGAAGCTGAAATGTCCTGGGGAGAATTTGTGTTTTGCTCCCGTACTTACACCTAGTGAGAAACTGTAGAGAACACACGACCGAAAAAGACCAAGGGTTACTTTTTCAGAAAAAAAGATCCATTTTGTCAGAATTTAATGTTGTTTTATTTCAGGAGGTCAGACAATTCTTATTTTTAATTTACTCCCAGCCCAAAGTTTGTGGTCCAGCAGGAGTTCTGGGCAGCATTCACTGGCAGTGAGTTGTCTCTGTTCACAGATAGGAACAATTACCTGCTTTGCATGGCTCTGATAATAACTTAAGTCTGTCAGTGTGGGGATCAGGTGGCAGCAAAAAAAAAGGGTAGGGGCTTCCTTTTCATATCTGTTTTCTCAGAAGGAAAACATAAATGAAACATCAAGCTCAATACAGCATTTTACCTGGACCATTAAAAAAGGACTAAGATGAGGTCAAAATATATAAATATGTGTTATATTTAGAGATAGATAGATAGATAGATAGATAGATAGATAGATAGATAGATAGATATAGATACATAGATAGAGATATTTAACATTTTAACCAGTTTATAGGCAAAAAAGTTATTCACCTTCTCTAGGTCAGCGTCTACTACTACAGATCTTCAAAACTGGAACCCATTTATGTTTAGGAGTCTCTTAGGAAACTTCAAAGCTGATATCTGTGCTAAGGAAGCCCAACTCTACACCAAGGGCACCTGGAGGCTGCCTTCAGGACTTTTGCTTACCTTACATAACACTGCTGAATTCTGGTTGCATAGTTAAAATTATCTGGTTGTACATGCAAGTTACTATTATGTTTAATAACCAATATAAGTGGATATTTACAAGTAATGAGCAACTGGTTTTTGGTTGGGTTTTTTTGTTTTGTTTTTTTTTTATTCTCAGACATTTTTTGAATTTTGTCCAATAACTAAATGTTCACAGTTCATTTGTAAAAGAAAAAAAAAAGAAAATAAAGGTGAATACTTTCTTTCCTTTTGTGGGAAGCTGGCATTCTATTATGATGTACTTTGAGCAGGAAATGTTCTTCAGCTGAGCAGCTACAAGCAAGAAATTTGGCCAGGGGATTTATGTGGAATCACAGTTATTTCAGTTATTGGGCAACCTTTAATTAGATTTTGGGGTTTTTTTAAGGTATGAGATTTATCAGCCATAGCACTCTCTGAAATTCCAGGGAATGCTCTGCCTATCCTATTTTTTTCAGTTTCAGAATTTCAGACCTTCTGATCATCTCAGGATGTGTAGTGGGCAGGCAGCAAAGAATACATACAGAATTCTAACAAGAGCCTTACTTGCTTCCAGAAAAGAATCTTTGAACTAAAGCAGACAAGAAGTGATATTTCCTAAGAGTTCGAAATCTTTTTTTTTTATTTTCATATATATCAGTGTTAATATTTTGCCAGACATAAGGAGTTAACATTGTGAGCATAATCACAGACGATAGAAGTCAGAGGCCCATTATGATGAGAAGGTGGAGACTTTCCCATTATTTAAGTGTTTGTGGCTTTCTAGAGGGATTGTGTAGTTCAGGCCATTAGAAAACATTCAACATCTCAAAGAATTTGTGGACCCTACAATAAGGTTTAAGTGGGAAGGGTGACATTTTAAGATCTCAAAGTGAATTATTGATCACCCCTTTACAGGGACAGACACGGCTCTGAAAGCTTCAGGCCATGAAGTTATTTTATGCTGCTAATAATAGCAAAGAGCACAAGCAGCTCTTGAGGTGGAATAAGTCACAGACTCAGAGCTTTCCCCCAGCTCCAGGGCATGCTTGTGACAGGGCACAGAAAGGAGAAGTTCTGCTCACAGCCAGGACTGCCAGCAAGTCAATCAGGATCACAAAAAATCCCAACAGAGAGAAGGCAAGTGCAGTGCCTTGAACCTGCATTGTTTCTTTCACTCTGGACCTAGTTCTATACATTTCTTTAGGTGTACAGAAACCTGCTTGAGCCGCAGTGAGTTCAAGGATCCAGTGTAGTCTACACTGAGCTCACAGTTAATTTTGTTGTTGCTGTTAGCTGAAAGACATGGCTGTAAAATGCATTGGAAAGTCACAGACTTAGTTTATGGAAAAAAACATTCTTTCCCTCAAAACTCATATAAAAAGATGCAAAAATTATGCTTTTAAAAAGCAAAATAGGCAGACCTTTGGACTTTTAGGATTCTTCAGCTATCTTAGCACATAACACAGCTACAGTTTATTTTGGTGAAATAGTGTACTCTGGAGGACTTCTCTTATCTAAATGATCCTTCTAAATCCTGAAATGTGGAATATGTTTCATTATAGAAGTCTCCACTAAGTTTATAGTTTAATTAGTGTCACAGAAACACGAATATCTCAACAGATCTTTTATATAGTAATCATCCATATGTAATCAGATAGTAAATGATTCATGTACACCCACCTGTTGCAGTATTCCATCAAATCCTCTTTGGATCCTATCAATCACACATATGTGATTCTTTACAGTCTAGGTAGTCAAACACAAGAAATGGGTTCCCAGAAAGGTGGCTGATGCCTCCTGTCTGCCAGGCCCTCAGGAAGAGGCATTTGGAAAATGTCCTTCGTAATGGGCTTTTCTTTCATGGTCAGCCCTGATGAGGTGAGGTAGTTGGACTATGTGAAAACTGTAGGTACCCACCAGCTAAACTATATCCTCTTTCCCCTCCATTGCATCCCACTCCATTGCATCCCACTCCATTGCATCCCGCTCCATTGCATCCCGTTCCATTGCATTCCATTCCATTGCATCCTGTTCCATTTCCTTGCGCCCTTCTTGTAAATTTAAATGACTTGACTAACTTCCAGTCAGCTGGGACCTCCTCAGACTGTCAAGACCTTTGGTAGAGAACTGAGTGGATCCAGCCATGAGATCAGCTAGGTCCTTTTTAGTGCTCTGGAATGAATCCCACCGAGGCCTTGTGGACCTAGAAACATTCTTTGGTCACGAAACTCACGTCCCGGAAAGGACCATGTAGTTTATTGGATGAAGTACAAGGGGATGCTGAGAAGCCAAAGTCATTCAGTGCCATTTTGTTGTTCCAGAGGAGCAGCAGGGCCAGCCGGGCGCTCATCTTCTCTCAGTGGGGTCACCTCGTGTGAGGCCGCGGGAGCCTGCTGGGAATGGGCGTTGGAGGGCCCTGGAGCTGCTTCCTGCCTCTGGGCACTCTGGGTGGCCACGGGCCTGTCTCTGCCAGCCATGTTCTCCTGGTCATGGAGTACCTGCATCACCCGTATCATGACTGTGGTGACTGGCTGCAGGCTCCTCTCGGTGGCCACCCTCCTCTGCAGGCGGGCGGACAGGCCGACGGCGCACTCCTTGTAGTCGCTGTCGCCCCTCACGGAGTACAGCAGCTGCTCCATGGGCTGCCGGCACACGGGGCAGTTGTCTCTGCTCTTGGCCCACTGCCGGATGCAGCGGAGGCAGAACTTGTGCATGCAGTAGGTGACGTAGGCCGGCCTCTTCATGGGGCCTAGGCAGATGGGGCACTGCGGGTCTTCTGCTGCCTCCGGCCGTCCTGCCCGGGGCGGCTGGCTCTGGCTGCCCTCGCTTGCAGCAGAGCTGCTCTGCCCCATGTCTGCCTTGGCAGCGGATGCCATGTCCTGCCAGGAGAGATGTGCAGAGTGCTGGAGCTTGTCTGGCAGGAGGGGATTGCTCAGGAGGTTGAGCCGCTCCCTCTCGCCAGTGCTGCAGCACCGGGTGTCACACAAGCAAAGGGACGGAGCCTGCCCTGCGGGTGAATGGTGGAAATGCCCAGGTCCTTCGAGAAGGAAAGCCTCCCACCTGCCCAGGGGGAAATTTCCCCTCCCAGTCCCCCTCTGCTGCTGAGAGTGCACCTCCTGGGTACTCACACTGCATGGATGTGATAGGGCTGGGAAAAATCCTGGGCTGACCCAGCTGGGTCATCTGTGACATTACAACCCATTGCTAGGTGAATCCCTCATCAGATTGGATCCATAATTGGTGATGTCATAATCCAGCTGTTGCACTAGATCTCTGGCAAAGGAACTGTGTTCCTTTCTCTTTTCTTCCCTTCTTCTTTCCCTTCCTTTAGAAGTCTGGGATGAATCCCACCAAGGCTCTGTGGACTTAAGAACATTCAACAACTGCAGCTGACCCCGTACAATTCCAGTGTCCACAAAGGGAAGGTCACTGTTGCTGTAGCTGTGCTCCCCCAGCTGAGAGGACTGGGAAGCCCAAAGTTTATCAATAGTGTTAAAGATTGAGACAAAACAAGCCCTAAATCCCTCTGCTTTTTCTGTAAACCTATTTGCCAATGGACCATCTTCAGAAGATATTTTCTCTGGACATCTACTTGCTACTGACATACTTAATTAAACACCTTATTTTCTGGCACAACAAAAGCTGGTGGAAGAAATACCTCAAGGTCCCTCAAGTGGCTGAGCCTCTCAGCTGCCCAGGGTGATGCTTCCCCTCACAGCTCACCTCTAATTCTGCATCATCTCTCCCTCTGGCCCACCTCAGTGTGAAACCAAAGCAGAATTGATGTATGCCCTAGGCCACGATGTCTGCCTTCTTCATGTCTCCCATGTAGACAGGGCACTGGAATATGCTGCTGCCTCCACTCTCCTTGCCTGGATTCTACCACATCCTGAATCTAAAGTCCTCTTTCTAAGTCCAGCCACCTTGTTTTCCTGAACACTCTTGCCCCCACCTGTATAGTACCACCCAGTGTAACACAAAATATTCACCAAATAAAATTTCAGATCAAAACATCCTGAACACAACTGAGAACATTCTGACTTTGGAAAATACCATGTAGATCTCTCCAATATACATTCTTCTTATCAGAATAATATATGTCACCATACACCTCTCTTCCACAGTGTGGGGATGACCAAAGAAGGTTTTGTGTGAATGAGCTGTTAGAAGATGTTTGTACCTGGAGACTGATTCGGTAAGCTGGTATTCAGCAGTATTTATGTTTGTAATTGTTTATATTTGCAGAAAGCCTTCTTGCACCAAAGAACAGTTCTGAGAACTACTGGGGACAGGAGTGACACTAAAGAGAAAGACAATTGGTTCAATACTTCAGAATTTTTCTTTTCAGACCTTAGTTGTTGTTTAGCAAAAATCAATGTTTTCTGGATCCATATAATTTCTCCCAATTGTCTCCTTTTCATATTGCTGAAGTTTTTGTTAAAGGTTTCCCAAAGATGACTGAAGGAGTCATAATTTTCTTCCATGTGCTGCTGTTAGAGAATTTTTGATATTGAATATTGTAAAAATAATAGGTTTTCTCTTCATTATGACTATATTTTCACAGTTCAGTGATTTTTAAACCTTTTTTTAATTTTTTTTTTTTTTAAGCTAGCCATGATGAGCCTCTAACTTGGCAGTCAAGTGAAGCTGATTGTAAAGCCAACCTGTGATGGACAAACACTGAAATTAGATATATTCCTCATTCACTTTTAATTATATTCCATTTAGATAAATTCCACTTTAGATAAAGAAGCTGTTGACACTTTTTGCGATGTTTTTCATCACTGTGTTATAAAGCACTTTGCCATCAATAATAAACGTAAACGACGCACCTGTCATTTAGCAGATGGAGGAAAACAGAGGGGTTTGCCTTGTTTGAGGTGGCATTCTGGTGCTTGCTGAGGACCCATCTGGTTTCCTAGGAGCATGGCCCAAATTTCCATTCTGGTCCTTGCTATGAAGAGATCAGAAGAGGACATGTATGTTATAGATGACAAGTGTGTGAAATTCAGGAGCACAGAGGATGTCTGCAGGACAGGATCCCTTTTCTCCAGGACAAACCATCTCTCTCAGCTGCTGTTCATCAGCACTGTGCTCCAAACCCCAGCTCTGTCACTCTCTGGACACACTCCAGCACCCCAATGTCTTTCTTGTCGTGAAGGGCCCAACTCTGAAGCCTGAGCACAATCATGGGACCAGCTCCCAACAATTCCATTCACCACAACTCTCTGGGGCCAGGCATGCATTTGGGCACTGTTTAGTGAGGCAGAATGGTGACAAATAGCATTTTAGAAGGGGAACCTAGCATTTCTCCATACTAGGTGCTGCTGCCAGGAGAAACTTTTCAGTGAAAAGCGAAAGCTGCAAGTACATGCTACGTACTTGTCATCCTCCTCACATATAGACCAGCTGGGAGCTGAGTCTCATGTTTGTGCCTTCCTTATATCCTTTTCAAAATTCTTGCACCATATTGACTTGCTAAAAGCTAAAAAAATGCCCTTAACATCAAAGAAGTACTAAATGTTCATGGGTTGGTTATGAATTATGAAACACGTGGCATTTATGCACAGCTATAATGATGCAAAAGTATGGAGGATGTCTCTGTGATAGGATATGGGTATTATTAGTTATCTAGCAGACAAAGACTCAGGATAGCATTAGTAGAGGCATTTCAATCATTATTACAACTTGTTGGATTTGTTTCCTATTAATGAGGTAAAAATAAGATTACTTGATACAAAAAATTCTCCAGGGCAAAATAAAATAATGGAAAATATGCTAATTTTATGAACTAGCATTGTCATTTATGAAATTATTCTGTAACCTGCACTTTGACCAAGGATGCTAATGAACATGCTCACCTGTATGCAAAAAGACACCAAGGCAAGCTCATATGTTCAGATATATTTTCAAGCTGGGTAAGGCTGTGGAAAAGATGTTATGCCTGAAGACTCGGTCAAAGCAGAGTGACAACTTGTATTAGCTATGATTTAACAGGATTACAGGAGGAATTTCCAGGCAGCTGCTCTACTCACAAACTGCCTGGCTAGATAAAGCCAGTGCAGATTGGAAATAAAAAGCTGTAAAGGCAAAACTACCTGTGGGAGGAATAGTTGGCATCTGCAGGGAAATGCACTGTGGTATCCCCTGTGTGCCCAGGGAAGGCCACCTAACTTTATTCTGTGTGTTATTTCAGTGCAATGATTCTCCTTTTCTTGCCATGCAATATAGATAATGAAAATCTAATAATGTGCCATGAAACCTGTACTTTGGGCTGTAGTTGCAATTCTAATTCTGATTGCTCAGCTAGTCTAGCTAAAATACATGAAGTCACACACAGCTTCTCTGTAAGTAGTTGATTTGCTGTGAAGCTCTGAAAAAAATCAAAATACTTTTGGGACTTTTCAGCTACCAGACTGCAATGGGGGTGGAAGATTGGGGGAAATTTCTTCTAAGCCTTCTGAAGAGGAAGAACCTTAATAAAAGATCGTTGTGGGATATAAGAATAGAATTTAAAAGGCAAGAATAAAGTGATAGGGTAAAAAAAACCAAAACAAAACAACAAAGAAAGAATTTAAATTGCAGTTTCCAGTTTTTCATATAAGCATGTGCAAACACCAACTACCTCTGGTGGCCATCAAGATAAAAATGTGTCTTTTACTGATCAGTGGGCTAGGCAAGGTATAAAACTGAGAATTGAGTTTCCCTTTTCTTTCCTGATGATTTCACCCTACAGAGGAGGTTGACACAGGAAGATACCTTAGCAACTGTCTCACAGGCACCTGTTTTAGTTTTGTTCCAGCTGACAAATTAACAACAGCAAGAATTTCACAGTTCTTGAAACACAGAAAATTACACAAATGCGTCTTAAAAGTAAAAATGTGAATCTGGTTATCTGTTGGGGATAGCACTTGGAGCCTGTGGTTCTAAAACTGTGAGATTTACAGCTGAAACATCAGTTGAGGAGTTTGGTGTACAGAGGTGTATGCTGCTCTTCATAATCCTAATTAATTTAGTGAAGCTTTGGTAAGACTCAGCAAACTGCCTGTCCAAATTTTGTGGCAATTTCTGTAGCATGACAAAGGCATGGAGCCACAGACTGGTGTATGGCTGTCTACAGAATTAAAAATAATTCCCAGCTTAGGAAATGCTACAGAGAAGGCAGTTGCTGAAGCAGTTTGAGCATGTAAACTTGAGATCTGCGTGCAAATTAAGTTTCATGGATTATGTAGCAACACTGTCCTGTTTCATAACATGTTTTTATACTTGTGACTTAGCCTGGACTTTTGATGTGTCGAGATTTTCCAGATCTTGTGCAGATGTTTTATCTGATTCTATGCAGCTTCAGTCTGGGAAGTGATTGAAAAAGCAGGCATTGGGTCATAATATCATATAAGCTGGAAAAGAGCTTTAAGATCATCAAATCTAGCTGTAAGAATGCAGCATGTACTTGAGTCCATCCTTCTTTAGGGTAATATTTTTAAGCACTTGCTTAACCATAAATTTTAAAATAAATGGGAAATTCATTTCAATAGACATTGAAACAGCAAATCACTTACTGGAGTGCTTTAACTTGGGAAATTTATATCTTCATGTATAATAGACTTTTTTCCAGCTATTCTTTGTGGCAAATGTCTACCAAAAAAGCAGGCTCAATTGCATGATGTCTACATACACACTTGGCATTATTTTATACTAACATAAAATCACTGTCAAATTATTTCAAATGTCTAGAATGTGAAAAAGCCCAACAGAAAACAAACCCAAACCTGCTCTCTTTATCTAATTCTTACTAACTTGATGTTGTTTGCTTTTCTTTCTGATTTCCAGGCAGAACCTTGTCTCTGTTATTATGAACTACAGAGTTCAAGTGGAGTATCTGCTGCAAAATGAGGTATTTGTTCTCAGCTTGTTACACCAGAAAAGCATTAACCTCTACATGAAAGGTATCCAATTATTCATCTGTCTTAGATGCAATTAAGGAAGACTTTTAATTAAGTCTGCTTAATCTGACTTCGAAAGGATATAAATTCTCTTAATAAAACTTGGTTTGAGGTTAGGAAGAAAGTGCTACAAATTTAAAATATCAAAGGTTTGTAAGTGTCAAGGAACTCGTAAATAAAGCCAGAGTTGTTTGGGTTGGCAGTATAATACTTGGAATTAGTACAGGTATAATGCATTATATGGACCTGCAAAATTTGTCCCTGATTTTGCAAACCCCCAAGCCTAATGTTTACATATTTAGGATATATATGCAAGCATGTTTTCATTTGAAAGATTAGATTTAGCCAGCAAAACTCCCAAGAATTTTATTTTAAAGCATTGTGGGCTGCCAGTTGAATGTTACATGCTTGAAAGAAAAATCTTTTAGGAAATCTTCTCTGCTGCCCAATGTTTTAAGGACAAATGTCTAAAGGACAAATTGAGTCATAGCTTGGAAGAAACCACATGTTTATTTGATCTGACTTCCAAGCTGGCATGATAACTGATTTGATCTGACTTTCAAGCTGGCATGATAACTGATTTTCTAGGGTTTAAAACTGGAAAGAACAAAAGACTTATAAAAATCAAAGAATACTGATGTAGCATGGAGATATTCCAGTGCATCCCTTCCAGAGTTATAACTCATTATGCTAAATTATGGATTTCTTTGAAATCTATATTTCAACATAAAATGAACATTTTGCTTCAGAACTCTGTCACCTACATTTAAGTTCAGATTTTAATATCCCTGGATATTCTTGATCCATTATTATTTCTATTTTAAATAGCCAGAAAACATACATTTGCATACAAATTTTATACATATACATATATAGAAATGCATGTAAACATACAGACACATACATGAATACATAAATAGATACAGATATAGATTTAGATAGCGATATAGAGATAGAGATATATTTTATATATATATATAGATAGATATAGATATAGATATAGATATATAGATATATAGATATATAGATATATAGATATATAGATATATAGATATACATAATATAG